TTTGCATTTTGCGGCCGCTTCCCAAGCTGCTGGTAGGGAATGGGGTGGGAGGAACAGCAAACAGCAGCTTCAATCTCAGCAGCGCCCACGGATGCTGCGGGGACAGCCTGTACCCTGCCTAGCACTGCCGTTGTGCCTACCAGGGAAAACAAACACAAAAATAATGCACACAGATGGGTTCCTTGTACAAATAAATGTCTGAGGGGAGCGACCTGGCTGTGGGCAACCTGCTGGGAAAGTCCTGCTCCGGTGGGAATCGTGGCGTTACGCAGCGCCTGGATGTGTCTGGGCTGTGATTTATGCCCCCGCTTGGATGCTTGCCTGGGCAGTGTGTGTTGACACTCAGTGCTCAGCTCCAGGTAAAGTTTAAACAGGACTTATCGTGGCTCTGACACCTCAGGAAGGCTTCCCTGCCCTAACGGTGTGCCTCGTGCCATCTCTTGTGTAAGTTTGTGCTGCTGCTGCCCTCGATATTAAAAGAGAAGGAAGGTTGGCTTGCAGAATGCATTCCTCAAACAGCTTTCTCAAACGCTCTTCTGATTTTAAAACAACCCATTGCCAGTGGGTCCTGTGGCTGTTTCTTTGCTCAGTGGGCTGCATACAGTCTGTGCTTCACCCAGTGCCCCCAGTCTGGGCTCATTACAGGGAGTGCCGTGAGCACGGTTTGACCCCAGGTTCCCTGCAGGTTCCTGTCTGTCTGTCTGTCCTGCTGGACCTACACCAGCTCTGGGCAGACCCTTCTTCCCAGCAAAAATAACCATACAGTGTTTGTCAATCAGTTGGGTGTCCTTGGATGGCACCCAGCATCACACAACTCACTCCCAGCTCGCTCTAAACAACGTTGAGCTCATTCAGTTTTATGCTTTGTTTTCTTATGGGTAACAATTAAGAACAAAAGCAGCGGAACATAATTACAGCACCTTGAAGTGTAGCTTTACTGGGCCAAAGGCTGAAATGAGGTTACGACGTGACAGCCCTTTATCTCGAATCTGATAGGGGTGTTATTCATTGTATTAAAAGTTTGCCAAGAGAGGCTTCACTGAAAATTAACCTGTGTTATCGCAGTGAGTAATATCCTGGTTTTATCATGTGGAATAAACAAACAGGGCAGACTTTATGCTTTTGCTTAATGAGGTTAACACTGAGTGCAGAGCAGGGAAGCGGCGTTAGCTCCGATGTGCATCCACAGTGATTGTGGTGAGATGAAACTGGAACAGAAAGTGCCCCCAGATTTCTTGCATAACAGCAGAGCTTGGATTACTATTAATTACATTATGCAACTGAGATAGGATGGAAGTTGGCTCTATCTAACAACAGACCAGGGTGCAAAACTCTTTGCAGTCATCTCTGTGATTTCCCAGGAAAACTCAACATCCGTGCTGTCTCGATTTGGTTTTCTTGCCTTCTTTGCCCTATGGGGACTGCACAATTCTCCAGCTTTGTGCCCCCCAGCCCAAGCAGCACGCTTATTTCAGCCTTTACATTTGCTCCCTTGAGTGCTTTTCTCTCCTCAGAACCCACCTGGGTGCAAAATCCTGAATATTCTAGCAAATTCAGACTGATGAAGTGATGTGGGGCACTGGGAGCACTGGCAGGGAAAGACCCCAAAACTGGCATGTGAGGTCAGCTCTGTTACAGTGTGTGGCTCGTCTCACCTGAGCAACACATGAGTGCTGGGACGTGGATGGGCACTGGCATGGAGCTGACAACAGTTCTGCAGGAGAGCAGTCGAACCCTACAGATGATGCTCCTGGCTCTGGTGCAAACAGCCTGACCTGTGATGCTGCTGCAGGCAGGGATGACTTTGGGAATGAATGGGCTTGATTCAGTTGTTGGGATTTTGATTTGGCAGCGCATGGAGGTGCAGGGCCCAACCCTGGACTTCAGCAGCTGGGAGCCTGAAGTTGTTTCATGTGAACAAAGGGATCATCCGGGTCATTAATCCCTTGCACCTGTTGTGCTTTGTTCCCAGCTTGCTCTGCCCTATTGCATCAGCAGTGGTGACATTGTGGGCAAGCAGGGCTGGCGGAGTGGTGGCATTAACAGTGCCCTCACCCAGCGGAGCATCACACTGGGTGGGTTCAGCTGGGAGCTGGCATGGGGCAGCCCACGGTGTCGGATGGTGTGGAGCAGGGCTTGGGGTGGCTGTGTCAGCAGGGACCCTCATCCCAGCATAGGGGGACCCATCCTGGCCCCATCTGAACCCTTCCCGAGAACTTTTTCTACCCCTGCCAAAATCATTGCACCAAAGAACTTTAAACCCCAAATCCAGCACCCGTCCCTTTGTGCCAGTGGATGTGATAATACCAGGAGTGTATTACCCTCTGGGCTATCAGCAGCTGCAATACCTCCAGGAATCGCTCCGGTAGCTTTAATTATGCTCATGCCTTTCTTTCAGCCCTCGTTATCTCTGAGTTCCTCCAAGCTGGGGGCAGGGGCACAGCATCGATGTTGCTTCTCTGAAGCACCTTTGTTTTCCCTGCTCAGGTATTAAGCTGATGGCACAACAGTCACTGGGCGCTGCTTTTTCTTGCCTCTCCACCCCCCAACGTAGACTTCGGGCACAGGCAGCAAGCAGGGCTGGCAGGAATGCACAGACAGAGGCAGCTTGTTCCTGCAGGGAGCAGGGAAGGGAGAAGGAGAGAAAGGGAAAGCAGAGGGGGGAGAGGAGGAAGAGCTGGGTGAAAGAGGGAAGAATCCATCTGTGCACGGAGGGATTTGTCTGGAGGTGTTTGTTAAAAGGATGTAATGCTTAGAAAAATAATAAAGAATCCTCCCTCCCACACATGCTCATAAGAGGTTTTTGTCAGCGCAGTGCCCTACATGGGAAGGTGACATTTGAGAGAACAATTGCCGGGCTGTTACGCCGTGCCTGCACTATGAATGGGGCTTAAGAAAGGGTGTCCTTGGGCTCCCATCCTCTCCTCCATCCCCTGCCTGCTGACACGGGGCAGCAGCGTGCGAACAGAGCAGTGTGGCACATGAGAGGGGAGCGCACTCCAAGCTCACTGCCTTACTGTGCAGCCAGCTTGTCCCGCTGCTGCACGGGGATGCTGAGGATGCTGCTGGAGAATGCACAGACAAGGAAGGACAGTGGGGAGGGGGAAGCTCGGGGGCTTTCTGCAGCTTTGTTCTTCGGGCTGAACTGGGTGTGAGCTGTGTTTTGGCCACGCACCTGCTGCAGATGTCGGAATGGCTTTCTTTGCACAAACACCTGGATGCGTAGGTACGTATATGCCTGTTTATGTGTGTACATGTACAGCATCTCTCCTAGTGCAAAAGGCTCTTAGCACTGTCTTTCTCCAGCCTGAAGTGGGAAACAAATCAAGACTTTTGCTGCTGAGAGCTGGACTTGTTGGGGTGGCTGGATGGGGTCTCAGCAGCAGAACGGCTCCCTGCAGGTGCCCTGTCCTGGTGCAGGAGGCACTGGGGGGACATGGTGATGCCTGAGCATCCCCTGGCACTGCCCAGTGTTTAGCTAAGATTTTAAGTTGATGCGAGCATCGGGGACATCAGGATTTGTTAAATATTTCCTGCTAGATTTGGAATGCCTTTTCTCTTCTCTTCTGACACATCTTGGCATCTAGCCCGTGATAATGCCTCTCAAAGCTGTGTTTCTTTGAGATATCTGTTTCTGCAACATGGATATTTTTGCCTTTGGCAAGCCATGTAGGTTGTCTCTGTGCCTCAGTTTCCCATCTCTGTGCCTCAGTTTCCCACCTCTGTGACAAGAACGATGCTGGTTGTGGATGCTCCCAGTAGTGATGAGGGGGAGTGTGGGGCTGTCATTGGAAGCTGTTAGGGAAAAGCCTCCTGTCGGCTTTATTAAAAAAAAAAAAGAAGAGAAAGAGAAGCAGATGTAAAGGGCATCTCTAACACCATATCTGATGAAATCTCACATGCAGCACTAAGCTGAGAAATAGTCTGTCATCACACTCCCGTGCATAGAATCTATTCAGGCTGTGAGCTCTTCGGGGCAGGAATCTGTTATCTGCTTGGTGCTGCTTCCTGAGTGCAGTGCATTACAATTGTTTTGGGGATCACATGCAGGAGAAATGGGGAGGGCAGAAATTGCAGCATTGTCTCTGAGCACCTTTACTTGTGTTTGGGGTGTTGGGGAGGAGGAGAGGGGGGCAGTTCTGGGGCAGCTGCTGGCACTTTGCCTTGCCTTACCTGATACCTTACAGCCTCAGTGGATTTGTTTTTGTATTTTCCACTGGAGAACAGGAAAATGACATGAGTGGGCAATGCTGGGAGAGGGCTGGGGGTGCTATGGGTTGGGCTAGGTGGTGTGGGGGGGGCTGCCGGGCTGCCTGAGGCTGTCATAAAGGAAACTGCACTGGGAGTGTTAATGCTTGAGCCAAGTTATGGAGAAAAAGGTTTATTGTTTGAAATAAAGTGTGAAAAGAAGACATCTGGGAGCACGCTGCAGTGCTTTGGAGGCCTGGGGACAAACAGGGGGCTGGGAGGGCTCCTCCTGGCCCTGTGGTGCTCTCAGAGGTTAAATGATGTGATGGGAATGGCAGCCCTTCCCTGCACTTGCATCTATAAATTGGATGTTAGGTGGACATCTTTAGCTCAGAGGTTGTGAGGCGTTGGCAGAACTGTGGGTGCCCATTCCCACAGATACCCTGGGCAGTCTGAGCTGGGGGAGCACCCAACGCATGGCAGGAGGTGGCTGGGGAGGGCTGGGAGGTCTCTTCCAACCCATTCTGTGATTCCGTGATATGATACTCTATGCTTGTCTTCATCAGGCCATATGAAGGAGGAAAGGAGATGGCCTCTGGGGTAGCGTTCTGCATACGTGAGATTGCTTTGCAGGTGCTGCACTACAGACATGGGCTGGAGGTGTCAGTTGGGTGCTCTGGTCTTGTCCCGTTCTGGTGTTATCAGGCCCTCCAATGGCACAAGGCAGATTAGCTCCACTGAAAGCCCCTAGAACAACAATCTGCTGGGAGTTATGGATAAATGCAAATAGTGTTTGTTTGATTTACTTTTCAGGTCTGGCCAGGAAACCTTCAAGTAGGAGCACTTTCCCTTCTAAGCAGGTAAGTGCTTTTTTAAAACATACACGGGACCGTCTGTGCCGCTCTGTTTATTGCTATAAATCTTTCTGTGCCTGAACATCTGAGCAGAGATTCCCGTGGTAAATTCACAGCACTGGGGAGTGCTGATGGGCTGGGAGGCTTCTGCAGTCCTGGATGGGAGAGGGGAGAGGAACCGTGGGGCTGCAGGAGGTGGGGATGTGGGGGAGATGCGTTGCGTCCAGGACGTGTGGTCTGTTGGGGTGAGTGGGACTGTAAGCATAACAAATCACCACTACCACCAGCAAAAAAAAAAACCATGGCAGCCTTTCGCCGTGGATGGCTAGTTGGTCGGCCAGGGTGTTTTTCCTTTGGACCTTGGCCACCCCAAGCACACACAGGGCTCTGTGTGCTCCTACCTCGCCCTCCGAGGAGGAGCGGGAGGGAAAAGCTGGCCGTGCTTTGGGGAGCCGGGCAGGGGAGCGCGAGGCGTCGCTTGGAGCCGAGTTCCTTTTTCTATTTTATTTAGATTAGGTTCTGCTCAGCGGGGTGATTTCTTAATTAGAGCAGCCCGCGCTCGCAGGCCGGCCGTTCCAGACCCCTGCTCTGCCTTCTTAGGTTTCACGAGGGAAGTTGTCGTGCCTGATTTCCTGAGCTCTAATATTCGAGCGGTTGCGCGGTGATTTCAATGGGAGGAAAGGACATGTAATTCAATCATCTTTATTGGATGCTGGGTGAGGGAGGGGGCAGAGCAGTGGGAAGCGTGTCCTCTGCTCGTCTCTCGATTCTCCCCTCTGCTGCCAGTGGTCCAAGCTGAGATTTCAAGGATGGGGAAGCAGGAAAACGCAGATCCTGAGTGCTGTGGTCCACATGGTGAAGGGCTTTTTGTCCTCGTCTGGGCAGCTCTGCTCAAGCACAGCCATGTCCCTTCGTTAGGGATCGGCAGTGATTAAAATCTGGGTGTTTCATCCCCATGATGATAGGAAGGGGAGCTCTGTGCATCCAGTGTTTTGCCTGAGCAGAGTTAGAGGCTGATGGAGCCATCCTGGCCGAGCTAACAGTGTGCAGAGTGAAGAAATCTGCAGCTCTCACCTGGGTTTGGGGAATCTGGGTTTGCTGAAGGAAGGCAGTGTGTTCCTGGGTCTGCTTCCCAGGCATTGCTCAGCTCCAGCTACAGGATGAGCTTCCCCCTTTGGGCCAAAGTGGAAAGAGTGATAAGAGAAAGAATAAGGGAAATTGGCCAAAATAGAGGTAGTGAGGGAAAGTGGCTTTGTGTTGTGGCAGCTTCTTAAAAGCTCCGTTTCGCCTGTCATCCTCACTGCACAGAGCTGGTGCCCAGGAGAGCAGGGACAGCACCCCCACCCACGGGTGCCTGTGCAGGTGGATCAGTGTGCACAGGCAACCTCCACTCAAAAGGGTGCTGGATTTAGGATCCCCCATGGATGTAGGATCTGGGGGGACCTTATTGGCACTGGATTTGGAGTGTCACCCCCATAGGTGTTGGATTTTGGGAGGGAATCTCCAGAAGTGATGGAATTTGGGGCTCCTTCTCCAAAAAGGATGTTGGGTTTGGGGTCCTTCATAGGTGCTGGATTTGAAGTGTCACTCCCACAGTTGCTCAATTTGGGGTGTAATCCCCAGAGGTGCTGGAATATGGGGTTTCTTCTTCAAAAGGATGATAGAATTTGGGCTCCTCAAGTAAATCAGTGCTGAGCTATTGCTGCCAATAACTCTGGGATGCTCCTTTGAGCTTTGGGCCTACTGTGTTGCATGCAGTCAGCTGTGACTTCGTAGCTTACAAGGCATTAAGCAACACCCAGCAGGGCACATTTACATTTAATTCAAATGAAATCAGACTTTCTTTTTTAATAAATCCATTTTACGGCTAGAACAATAGAGAAGCAAATACTTGTTACCTGGAGACACTGTATTCTCTCTCCATCTCACCACATGGGCTTGAGTTATTATTTTCCTATCTGGCCCTATGAGAAGCGGAGGATGGGAGAGGTTTATAACTCAGTAATAGGCTTCTCACCTCAAAGTGGTTCCAGTTGCTCTCTGCTGCATTTGGCTGGGATGGTTTTGATTATGCAAAACCCTGCTTTGGTTGCATGCAGCCCTCGCAGCAAGCAGCGTGTGGGTGCAAATGGGGCAATGCTGAGCCACAGAGGGGCTGCACAGGTACTGCTCACACTCCCCAGGTGCAGGTGATGGTTTGGCCATTGCTATAAAGAAATGCTCTTTTTTTTTTTTCCCTAAGAGATCACTTTGCTCTTGCAGAAGTAACTGCATGGCTGCAGCTGTGACTATATTACATTGAGAGGTTTAAAGTGTTGCATTTAATGGGTTGCTTGAGGACTGAAACACTGCCAGCTCATGGGGTTTAGCAGCTGTTTTTCTGCTTTTGCTGCATCTCCATGTCCGGGTCTGCAGCTCTGCTGTGCAGCGATGCTTTGCTCATCTGTCCTGCTGCTGGTGAGAGGAAAATCAGTAAAGGAAAGTTCCTTTGTGGGGACAGTGGCATGAGTTGGGACTGTCACTTAGAGGCACGGAGGGTCTGTGGCTCTGGGGAGCAGGATGCTGCAAGCCACGGCATTCCTATCAGATCAGGTGGGTGGTGATGGCAGTGAGCTGGGAAAGGGGTTTTACCAGGTGTGGAGACAGCTGTCAGGGCTGCAGGAAGACCTTGTGCACATCTCCAGGATAAGTGCCAAGTGGGATAGCACTGACCCCATGCTCATCCACAGAGCCCCACAGCACAGGGATGCTTCGGTACAGATTGTGCCTGGAAAGCCTGCAGCACTGTCCCTGGGCAGATGGGCTGTGAAAGCAGCTGCAGGTGCCAGGGAAAACTTCTGCGGGTACGTGCTACCTGTGTGTCTGTGTCACGGAGGGACCAAACAACCCTGGTGCTGCTGGCAAACCGCATCGCTGCAGTTACAGGCTGTGCTGGGAGGGGGGAGGCTGCAGCAGCCTGGTTTCTGGAAAGCAGCTTGCCTTGCGAGAGAGGGGGAAAGAAATGACAAATTAAAACCAGAAAGACCCCTTTTCCCTCCATCTCTTGATGTCTCGATTCAGGTATGCATAATTACAATCATTATTTTTCAGGGCAACCCCTCCACCCCTTGGGCTCTGTGACATCCCTGCAGCCGCCCCCCCGGCTCTGCACTGCAGGAATGACACCAGAGCCCTCATCTGCTGGAGAAGGAGGGGGGGGTGAAGAGCGAGTCCTTGCCTGAGCTGTGGGGGTAGGAAAGGAAGAGGAGGGAGGGATGAAGGTCACCTTCCGCTGCCCCGGGATGGTAACGAACCCCATGCAAAGGCCCAGGTCGAGCTCTCCAGAGTCATTATCGCAACAGGCTGCGAAAGGTTAGGGAGGAAGGAGCTTTTCGGAAGTCTTTGCCCACTAATTGATTGTGAAGAGCGGAAGGAAGGATGTATCAAAAAAAGCAAAAGCCCCGCGCCATGTGTAACCCCCTCCTCCCCTCCCTGAATTCTGAGAGGAGGCAGCAGGTTGGAGCTGGGGCTGTAATGGTGCAGTGGGAAATGAGATCTAACAGGAGAAGGGTCTCCTTTCAGCCTAATGGCGAAGCTGGAAAATGTTTTCTAGCATCATTAGAGAGGATGAAAAGCATGAAGGGATTGCACCCCATCCCTGCCTGGTGAGGGGTGCAGGGAATGGCTGCTCCTGCTTGGTGCTGCTCCATGTGCTGTGGGCAGCTCTCTGTGATCAGCATGTTGCCCTCTTGCTCCCTGCTCCCCTTGACCACCAACAATCATAGCAGCTGCCTGGAAATGTGCTCTAAACTATGCATGTGGATCTTCTGGGGCTGCAGCTGCCCCACTGTGAGCACTGCATAGACTTTGGGCTGCTCTGCGCAAGCACGGGCTGCATTGCAAAGACCAGGCAGAGGCTGGGGAGGAGATATCTCCCAGTTGAGTCCCAGAGGAGCTGCTGGCTGCGAGCAGCATGGGGACTGTTTGGGAAGGAAGTCCTTGAAATGGTTGTGGCTTTCTGGCCCCAGGTGAGGCAGTGCCCAGAAATGAAAGGCAGCTGCAGAATTTGCCTCCTCCCATGACTGGATGAAACCAGAGCCCTCTAAGATGACACAGTGCAAGAATTAATCCACTCAGGTGGCACCGAGGTATTGTCTAAGTATGACAAGAATCTCCTGGAACAACAATGTGTTCATATTTAGACCAAGCAGTCCAATTGCGTATTTCCCAATCAAATATTTGCCAAGAAAACAGACAATTCATGTCATCCTCTAACCTCTACCTCTCCTTAACCTTTTCATCTGTCTTCCAGACCAAGGAGAAAATGCAGTGGGAGAGAAGATCCACTCTTCTGAGGACAGAGTACTTGGCCAACGTTGAGTGAATCCTGGTGCACCATAGGTCGGTAGTCATTATCATCATTGTTATACTGGTAAGTAAGAAAATAATCAAAAAAAGGATTTTTAGGGCTGGTGGGATTTGCCCAAATCACCTGGATAAAATTGGGAACGCTCCCTGACCGATCAGGAACAGACTGAGACTGGAAACCAGTTGCCTTGATGCCTTGCTCTAACCACTAGACGACCCACCCTGTATGAGCAAACGGAATAAAATTTGAAAGAAAACAAAAATCTGACTTGAAAAATGTGTTCCGCATAGAACCAGAATGTTCAGCGGAGAAAAAAGGATGCAGTCCAAAGTTTTACTTCCAGGCAAACATTTCAAAATGGACTTATAATGTACCCTTTCATTTAGATTTTATATGAAGGTTTTACTTGAACTTGTAATGAAGATGGAAAAATCCGAGGTTGCCATGGCTACTGGCACTTTGCCTAATACACTCAAATCTTTTTCCCCTAATAAAATAGATTTCAGAAACCCCCCTGTAGAAAGGGAAGAGTTAAAGACCCCATAAACAACTGTAGGATGAAGATAATTATTCCACGTAAAGAAAGTTCTGATGAATTACGTTCATTTTTTTCTCATCAATTAGGCCTCCAAAACCCAGAGTCCTGCTCTAGATGGTTCTGCTAATAAGAAGGACGATGCAAGGATGGAGAAAATGGGGTGTTGGTGAGCGAGGTGCGTAGTACTCCTCCTGGGACGTTCTCCTGTTGGTTGGGAACACATCCAACTTGTCAGGTAGGAGGAATCCTGGTTACTTCAGATGCTCTGGTAATCTGCGGCCATGATAGACCCTCTTGGACAAGCATTTCAGCTGGGCTAGGTCGTGCCTTGCACTCATCCTGCAAAATTCAAGATAGCTCAGGCAACCCAGTACTGTACTGAGTCACTGCTTTTGTTCATACTGCATGTTGGACTAAAATTTAGGCCCAGACTTGAGATCTTGTTTGTTTAGCATGTGTGTTTTCATGGCCTGTGAGGCTCAGAGATGGGATGGTCCCAGCCCTGATGCAGACCTTGGGCACTGCAAGCAGCACAAGGCTGGAGGAGACAGCAGTAGCCATCTCCTCCTGACTGCTGGCAGCTCCCTGGCTGGGCTGAAGACTTGCTCTCTTCTTCACCTTCACCTTCATTTTTTCTGCTTCCTCCTCTTCTTCCTCATCACCTCCCTGCTGGGGCAGATTCTTCATCCACAGGCTCTGCCCATTCCCTAGTCCTGGGAAGGGTTGCTGTCTCTTTTGCCTGAAGAATTCAGCCAACGGTCTGGCTTCAGCTCAGAGTTGGTAGCTTTTTTTCCTCCTGATTTCCCCCAATTTTGGTGGCAGCAGATTTGGCCTTGAATTTGGGCTTTGAAATCCTCTGGGGAGCTCAAGTTTGGGGGATGGATAGACAAGAGTGGAAACACTTCAAAATCACCAGGGTTGCCCAAAAAATGGTTGTGGCATTGGAGACAGCACAAACGATGATGACGAGCATCAAAACCCCACGAAGTAATCCCAGCCCTGGCTGTGCTGCTGATGCTCCTGTTCTCCTCGGGCATTCAGGAGATCCTTTAATGCAGCGGCTCTTTGGCTTTTAGGAGTGGTGGCTGTCCGCCAGCCCGATTTATTTTAAACATGTGTTTTTGATTTGAAAATGTCCAGATCTCCAAATCTTTAATCTTCTCACACCTAGGGATTTTTTTGTTGTGTTTTGCTTTTGTAAAGGGCTGAACCACGTGCGCAGGATAATGGTTAAAAAGCTGCACAGACAGCTTTAAAAAAAACATGAAAAGAGAGAAAAACAGTAAAGAAATTAAAATAAAAGGTCCAGCTGGCATTCTTCTGTTATCAAAGCAAGACACAGCGTGGAGATCCATGCACGCTGTCTCAGTGCTGTAATACTGAATCCTAGTGAAGCTCCCTCAGTTTTACGCTGAGAAAAACCCTCAGAGATCCCTCCCAGAAGGAAAAAGAACAGAGAAGTGGTCAGGCTGAGACAGGTTGCCTTCCCCACAGCTTAAATCTCATATCGTTTTCTGGTGTGAAAGTGGAAGAATTGGGTCCTGCTGCTCTGTGCTGGGATGGGGAAGGCTGGGAGGGAGATGTGGGGGAGATGGGGTATCCTTGGGATGGGGCAGGAAGGACCAAGATGCTCAACATCAGCACTGGGTGATGCAAATCAAAACTGACAGATTTAAAACGTGCAAGGGGAAAAAGGTATTTCTTTATAGCAGCCTACAATTAACGTGCGGCTCAGAGGAGCCATATATGCAAACAGGCTGCTGTCTGACCAAAGACACTTGCTGCAGGAAGATGTGTTTTCCAGGTGTAGGGCTTATTTAAGATATAAACAAGTAATTAAGCTTTTAGCTCTGCATCACTTGCCAAACTGCTCCGGCTTCAGCGGGACCAGAGGCAGCAACGTGAGTTGGCTGAGCACTGTTGCAGCCCACCCAGTGGGATTTCACAGCCTGTGATTTCCTCCTTTTGCTGCTGGAGCCTTAGGTCTGGGCAGAGCAGAGGTTAATGCAGAGCACGTTGGATAGATGGCGTTGGCTGCACTGCCTGGAAGCATCCCCTGCACTTGGTGAATGGGTGCAGACAGGACAAGCACGAGGTGCTGATGTCCCTTTGCATGAGGGGCTGATGTCTGTTGCTATCCAGATGTGCAACCCAAATTAACACAGCATCTTCCTGTACATCTGCTGGTGATGCTGTGCCAGCAGAGCTGGGGCTGAGAGGACAGAATGATGTCCCTTGTCCTCCCTGCAATGCAGTAGATTGGAGGTGGTCCTCTGCCCAACCATGTCACTGCTGATCTCATTGGAACAGAAGGGCTGAAATGTCTCCCTGTGCACTAAGAGTTAAGGGGTTTGTGAAGCTCTGAAGATAAGAAACAGATGATAAAGGTTAGGGAAGGGATCGCATTTCCATTATGCAGCCTGTAAATGCAAACTAATTAGAATGCAGCCTTCTTTCTGAGAAAATGCAAAGAAGGAAGAAAGCAAAAAAAAAAAAAAAACCTACCAAAAAACCCATCTCTTTCTTCCCAGGCAAAAAAGCCATTTGAGTGCTGAAGGCCTGGGAATGTGGAATAACTCAGCTTTGCTGCTTAGGTGTGCCTAGAGCTGGAAATACACATCAGCCATGGTGTGCGTGTGGCTGAAGAGGTGCTGGGCTGCCCTAGCCTTCTCCTGGCCCCACAGGGATTTGAAGTTTTCACCCATTCTGGCTGCATTGCTGGGCTGCAGGGTGCTGATGCCTGCTGAGCTGGACCTTGTTTTGCACTGTGTTGGTCTGACACACAGGACAGAAATTAAAGCAAACCCAGTGGTTTGGGTCTGTCGGGAGCTTCCTGGAGTTCAGAGCAGCAGCTGATGGCTTTAGCACAGCTTCAGGGCAACCACTGCCAGTTAAGAGGAAAACATTTGTGTTTGTGCTTAAAGTGAGGCATCTCTGTTTGCAATGACACCTTCACCTGCTGGGCTCCAGCCTTCCTCGGGCAGTCTCACCGAGCTGGAAGCTGGGGATTTTGGCAACGAGGGCTGAAATGGTGGTTATTCCCGGGGCTGGAACGCCACCTACCCTTAACCACTTCCCAGGGAAGGTGCTGCAGAGACACACTGCAGGTTTCCTCTGCACATCATCTGGAGGAGGATGTGTGTTTAACGGGGTTTGATTTTTATTTTTCTTTTTTTTTTTATATTATTTTCTTTTAAACTTTATTTTTTCTCTCCTCTGCAGTTCATTAGCATCTTCCCTTTGCTTGCTTACTTTTTTTGCCCCTTGCTTTCTTCTGGAACCTAGAAGTATTTCACTGCAGCTTGCCAAATGATTTCTATCTCAGTGAAAAAGAACTTGCTATTTCCTGAAAACCTACCACTGTTTTTTCTCTCTTTCTCTCTCTCTCTCTCTCTTTTTAATACATTCTGAGCACTGAAACAAATCCAGGTAACTCGATAAGAAGTTAATGAAAATGAATTCTGTTTTGCGAAGGTGCATTGAGGAGAAGGGAGAAGGGAGGCACTGTTTGGCGTAGAGGGAATTGTCTGTGCTAAAAAAAAAGGATTTTAGGAGATATCTTGTTCAAAATCCTCCCGTTGCCAAACTTGTGGGTGAGAAATGGCAAAAAAAAAAAAGGGAAGTCTCCATAGTTTTCTACTTGTGTGGTATTTGTAACTGTCAGTGCTGTGGGTGAGATGGCACGGTCTGATCGACACCACTGGGTTTGATTCCAGTGCTGACCACATCTCACACTGGGGAGGTTGCATTGGGTTGCTGGCCGCCTCCATCACCCAGGTCCAATCATGGGATCACCCACGGCACCCACTTACTGCAGCCGTCCTTCACACCCAACCATCGCACCAATCCATTCCATCCCCTACATCCACCCATCACAACCCCCATCGTGAACCAAAAGTTGCATCTACAGATCCCCACCACCCATCACACCAATCCTCCACACCCAACCGCTGCACCCATCCATTCCATCCATTCCATCTACTCCCAGCACCCACTTGCTGTGTGTCCACCCACTGCATCCATCCGCTGGGTGCATTCACCTACCCATCGTATTTTGGTTTGGTTTCATGCACTGGAGCACATTGGGCAAAAAAAAAAGCAAAAAAAAAAAAAAAGCTTTGTTTAATGAGCTGATTCTTTTATTGGGCTGATTTTCAGCTGCATTTTACTTTTCAGCACACGGGAAGTTTAGTTTTTAAGAAGTTTATTTCTTTATCGTGCATTCATTTCCGAAGGCTTCGCTGTACTTCTGGGTCGATTTCTGTTTGGTTTGGGACTTGGAGAAACGAGCCTTTGAGCAGATCAGTTGCGGGATAAGGAACTCTGTTTGTGAGATGGTTTTCTGTGTTGCATAACTCACAAATATCATCCGGCACTTAAGAAAATGGATGATCTTTTTTTTAAATTCACCCTCTCCCTCCCTCTGCTCCCCCATCTATGTGATTTTTTATGGTCCATGATTGGAAGCAAAAGGTCTAAAAGAAAGAGGAAATCAAGCCCGTCAATAAATGCTAAAAATATTTAGTGTGGCAGCCTCTGTATTTTCTTTTTTGTGAAACACTGATTAATATTCAGTGGTTGAAGGTTAATACCCCATTCATTTTATTCCCTTTACATCCTCTGCACAGCAGTTGCTGCTCCAATTTCGACTTCTAATTCATGCAAATCTGGTTCCAATCAGGATATTAGTAACTCACTGCATAAGCAGGAGGAAAGGAAAAAAAAAAAGAAGCCACACAATTGTTCAACTCATCTTTTGGTGGAAACCTACACACAGACACCCCAAGTCCATCAGGTTGCTGTAAGGAAAAGGTGTTTATTGGTGTTTATTGTGCATTTCTCTCCTTTAAAATAGGGAGAGAACATCCGCATAGAAGTTTTTTGGCAGGCTTAACCAGAAGTTATTGCTTTGGTACAGCAGTGAAAGTCTCTGGCCTGTGTCACAAAGGAGATGGATGATAATAATGGCTCATGCTGAGCTTAAAATCTCAGCTTCAGTGCAGGGACAGAAACAATCCTTTCTCAGGTCAGATTATCAAGCCCAGATCGGTGCCTAAATTGTCTGGGTGGCTGAATAATATAGAAAAGCTGGGAATCTTTTTTCCAAACGTGCAAGGCAGTGTCCATCAGGGAAGCGGCTGTTCCTCAGTCCTCTGTGTCTGGCTCTTGGTGCCAGTGCCCGGTGTTTACCTCCTCTTCGGTGAGCAAAGGGTTTCTGCACTGCCACGACCTTGTGCTGGCTCTGAGGACCACGGGGATGAATGCTGGGCACTGGGGTGCTCGGTTCCTGCCAATGGATCCTGGGTTCACCCAGTGCTGCCTCTCCATCATTCTCCATGGGACATCCCAGTGATGTCCCCTTGGCTCTGCTGGGGTCTCTGCATGGACCACAGCCCCAGAGGCTTTCAAGAGGAGGCTGATGTCTACTTCAGCTGCAGCACTTCCAGCATCTGGTCAAAGCAGACAGGCTGCAGCAAAGAGTCTCCACGGAGTAGACTGCCTAAAGCCTGGTGTATTTACCTTGGAGGAGGTGCAGGGCTCAGCCCTCCCTACCAGGAATCCCAGGCGAGGCCGGCAGCCAGGCTGGGGATGTCCAGGATGAGGACCAGAGCTGGATCCTGCACCCCACATCCTCTGGGATGGGGATGGCTTTGTGTTGGGTGACTGCTCTCAGATGTAGGGGATGTGTGCCTGTCCTTGCATGTGGGTACCGCGGCCCCGCCACCCCTCCATAACACACCAATGGGGAAAAGCTCGGGCTTGCAATTGTCAGCATGTGAACATCCTCAGGCACCACTGCAAAGCAACAGCAGCGCAGTTACGGAAGCCCAAGCCCCAAAACAGGAGGTTTCACTTCAAGGACTGGGCTTCACCCATGCTTTGTTGCACCAGGAGGCATGGATGCATAGAATGGCCCTCCCAGACCCTTCCCCTCCAGGAAATGTTGCTCCTATGGCATCTTCCTCAAAGGAAAAGGCATTTTCTCCCTTCGTGGATCACCGGTGACTTCAACTTTTAAAAATAAGCAAAGGCTCCAGCACAGCCCTGCACGCGATGTCTAGCCAAAATGCAAAACTTTACCACAGTGCACAAGTGGGCTGTGTTTTTCAGACCAGGCAACAACGTTAGGGCCTTTTCATCACCTTTCTTTTGCACTTCTTTTAAAAATGATTTAAATTGGAGGCAATAGTATTGAACCTCTGACACTCAGACAAGACTCTCTGAATCACACTTAAGCTTGCAGCCATTTTCTATAACCACTTTGCTCGCAGTCCTTGTGGTTTGTTGTTTTTTTTTTTTTTTCCTAAGCATTTGTTCTTTCCTTTGTTTGCTATTTTTGCCACCTCCATGAAGTGTCATTGCATTTTTTGCTTTGCTGTAGGATGGAACCGGTGACCACCCGGGCTTCACTTCTCATCTGTGCTGATGCGCTCTAAAATCGGGCTCCCCTCCAGCACGTTTGGAGCAGCAGTGCTGAGAATGTTGCTCTGAACCCTCCATCCACCACTGAGAAAAACTCATAGAGGAGGAAAATCAGGTTCCAGATTGCTCAGCAGAAAGGAAAAACCAGCTTGGAAGCCCCTCTGGAAGAGAGCCAGGCAGTAATCTCACGGCGTGTGGGTGAGAATGGCAGCATCTCCTTTGGCCTCTGACGGAGCTGCTCACACTCAGCATCCAACCTCCTCCGTTTATAGCCCCGATTTCCAACCAGCTAAATGAAAATACTTGTGGGCAGCAAAAATAGCCGGTGCTGAAAACCTGTGTCTACCGAGGGTGGAAATTGCTGGGAGTTCCTCTGTGTCCACAGCCCATCATTAGGAGCGGTGGCATAAATCCGGCGGTTGCGCGGCGTGCCGCTGGCGGGCTCCCTGCAGAGACCCAGGGCTGAGTGCCCACCGCAGCCCATGGGATGCTCTCAGGATGCTGCTGAGGAATTGGCTTTTTGGGGGGAAGTAGGAAAAAGCAGCACGCGTTTTTCCCTTGCATCAGCACGGTATGCAGTAGGGAGGAGTTTGCCATCGTTGAGAGGTAAGCTCGTTTCTGCTCCCTCTGTGGGACAGGGGATGCGGTGCTGGGATGAGAGTTGGGTTGCATGGAGCTGCTGAGGTTGCTCCATTTGTGGTGGTGTATTCACAGTGCAGAATTTATTGCTGTAAGTATGTGAATGTGCCATGCAAACATGCAAATCCTGATCTTTTATCAGTTGGCAAGGTACGGTTAAACATCATAACTGGGAGGCCCAGCAGCCAGCAGAGGAGCGCTGCAGGGCAGTGCCAGGGCTCAGCTGCCAGCAGCACAGGCTGGGAATGCTGTAGGTTGCTGTTATGTTATAGCAGCAGCAAGGAAGTGTTTTGCTTCATCATTTAGCAAATGCAGTCATGCAATGAGGCAATGCCACCATTGGTGCTTTGGTTGACTCTCCTTGCAGCTCCAGGTGCGAGTGGGGGTGCACTGACCATCAGCTCATATTGCTCCTGTACTGACTCATTTATCTTTTGGTGCTCATTCTCCAACACCACATGGAAATGCTTGAGCAGCCACTCTAACCTTTGGGCTGCAGTAATGAGCCTCACATGGCATCTGATTGGCAACATGTGGTCTGGGTCATTGCTTTGCTTCAGCTGCTTGTTAGGCCCTGATCTCCATTTGATTTCAAGGTGAAACTAATGGGATTTTGTTGAGGCTCCTCTCGTTCAGCGTGGATCTCACAGCTAAGCATCCTGGTGGAGGCAGGGATGGATCAGAGCTGACCTGACTCCTTCCCCAGCTCTGCAGGGAATGGAGGCAATGTTCTGCTACGTGTGGACTCTGCTGGTGCTTCTCTGGACTCATTTGGAAGCAGGTGAGTCAATGCACTCCTTGAGATAATATTCTGTGTCCTGGTTGTATGCTCCCAGGTTGCAGATTAGCCTCTTGTAGGTGCAGATGGCTGAAGCTTTCCAGGTCAGCTTTGCATTTGGTTTTCCTCTGCCCTAATTGAGACCAGAAATCCAATTAGATAATCATGCTGTCCTTTTTGAAGTCTCTGGCCGCAGCGTCATGTCATCTGGGATGGTGGATGTTGTGCTGGTGATGGGGCCAACCAGCAGCAGTGAGATTCTGCCCTGCTGTTGATTACGAGGCACAATTTTAAGACACATCCATTGTAACCCATGTCAGTGCCCCTTGCCTTTCTGTTCCTATTAGAGACAGCAGATGTTCAAACAAGGGCTGCAGCACGTGCAGCCTCCTTGCTGCTCCCCATTAGGCAGGACTCATGCTGGAGGGATGGCTGCTGCTTGAAGGGGTTCCTGTTGGTTTGCACAGATGCCGTGGATGAGGGGAGCAGCAGTAGCAGCTCCTTTGGAAATGGTCTTGCCTTGATTCAGAGACCTCGGGGCCAATGATGAGCAACCCCTGCTTAAGGAACTGAGATTTGCTGCATCTCTTTTCTCTCCTTCTGTCTGGCCGTAGCAAAATAGGAAATGGCACCAGATTAGCTCGACATCTGAGCCTTCCAAAAGCCACAGCATGGCAATTGTAGGCACCACTTGTTGCTTTTTTCCTACCCTGCAGCTGCTGAATGGTAGGGCAGCAGTTTGATTTGGTGTCTCAGCCTGCTTGCTATGGGAGAAAACAAGAAGGGGAAAAAAACAAACAAGGAAAGAGGTTTTAAGTTCAGGGCCTCCCACTGCATTGTTTTTATCCTTTTCCCATCCTGGAAAAAGAATCAGAAATAGTTCAAAACCTTTATTTTTTATTATTATTATTATTTTTTTTTTTCCTGCACAATTTAATTAAGGCTGAAAAAATGATGGAAACTGCACTGTCCAGCTTTCAATGCTTTTTGCACCTCATTGGGCAGGACAGACATGTTAAGTTTGTGACTGTAACTATTCTGGTGGAGATGGGCTCCAGCCACAGCTGCAGGGGGTTAAGGATGAGGTTGTGGGCCCCTCGCTACAAAAAAGACGTTTGAGGCCCTGGAGTGCATCAGGACCCCTGAGTCCTTTTCTGTAGCACTGCTCTCAGTGAGTTCCCCCTGTCTGTCATATCCGGGGTTGCCCTGACCCAAGTGCAACACGCTGCACTTGTTGAATTTCATTAGATTCTCATGTGCCCACTTCTTGAGCGTGTCCAGGTCCCTCCCTTCTACTGTATCAACTGCATCATTCAGCTTAGTGTCAGAAAACTTGCTGAGGGTACACTCAATCCCACTGCCTCTGCCATGGATAAAGATGCTGAAGAGCAGCAGCTCAAGAAGGGCCCCTGGGGGACACTGCTTGTGACCTTGGACATCCACCTGGTCATAGAGCTGTTGACTATAACCCTCTATGACCATCCAACCAATTCTTTATCCATTCCTTCAGCCTTGCCTTACGACCAGCAAAATTCCCCTTGCCCCTGCGACCTGACCCAGTGCTTGTTTGCTTTTGATTGTTCTCCAAACACGCCTTGCTCCCACATGCCTCCATTTATGGATGCTTCCTATCGAAAGCTAACGATGAGCATTACATTTAAATACAGTTTAATTTAAATATAACCTAAGCATATATTTGGGGGGATGGGGAGGGGTAGAGGAGGGCTACTGTGATGGCTAAGCTCCTCCATGGGACCTGCCTGCTCCCAGCCACTGCTGTCAGTTCTCTGTGCAGCTCCGGGCAGCTTGCACTGAGCGGAAGGACTGAATTCTTCCTCAGCCTTTCAATTAGCTTCTAATCCCTTCACTCTCATAAAATCTCAGCTGCTGGCTGCTCCTCTTTGTGTGTCTGCAGCAGCCACGAAAGCCGCCTCCCTAAGCATCTGTCTGTGCGGCTGAGGCTGAAACCAATCCGTGAGCCAATGGCCACACCTCTCTGCAAAGAACATGTAATTGCAAACTTATTTTTTTCTTCTTCTTCTTCTTCTTTCCCCTTTCCTCCCATTTAACATGCAACAAGCAGATACCCGTCACCATCCTCAGCTTTGCACTGATGTAAGCTTTTTCCACCTGGCCAAGTTGGGCGTTCAAAAATTATAAATAAATGCAAAAGAAAAAAAAAAGAAGGGGTGTGGGGGGGGGAAAGGCTGTTGGTAGGGATATTTTTAAACACATGACACAGAGGAGTGTGACACACTCGGTGTTCTCAGTGGGTGGGTGCAGTGTTACTGCATGTTGTTCTTGTCGCTGGGCCCAGCATTACAGGGAGGTGTGTTTGTAGCTGTGCCTGGTGACAGCGTGTGGCACTGCTGCATGGTCCCAGCGAGGGGTGGGGGCTGTGTGAGCACTGTGAGGATGCTGAGCATTTAAATACAGATGCTTTACTGCCTTGGTGTGTCCTGCTTCGCTTGGGAGCGTTCGACTCAAGGTAGCTGGGATTGGCATTGTGGCATTGTTTGTTGGTGAGCACGGTGAGGTTGCTGAGCATCTATGTGTGGGTGCTTTCCTGCCTTGACGTGTTTCCACGTGGACACATTTACCCAAGCTATCTGTGGCTCTGTATGTCCATCTGTGTCTGCTTGTCCATCTGTGTGGCTGTTTGGCTGGGCACCAGGAGGTGGCTCTGGGGACCACGCACAGCAGTGATGCTGAAGGTGACACAGGCTGATGCCGGCCAATGTCTGCCCACGAGCTGTCGGTTTTATAGCCCTATAAAAGGCAGCTGACAGCAGAGGTTCCGATTTCGGAGGCTCCAGCAGAGCTGGGAGGAGCTGTATTGGTGCTGAGCCTTAGTGTGACGTCAGGAGGCAGAGCTGGGCTGGGATTCCCAGTGTGCCAGGGGCAGAAGCTCGCTGCTTGCCTGCCTCTCCCTCCTGGGCACCACGTGCAGTGCCAGCCCAGGCCCCAGGGCGCCGTGTGCTGCAGCACAGCGTGTGGAGCAAACAGCGCAGCTCCGTGCTCTGCTCTTCAGCTCTCCTCCCTAAGCTTGGCCTCTCTCGTTTGCTTTTGTTTGCTTTCTCTTCCCTGCACGTTTCTTGCCACGTCCACTCGTGTGTTTCATTTTGGTAGGGATGTGCATGCTTTTCTGGAGGTCGCCCAGGAGCTTTGGCTCAGGCTGTGCTCGTGCTCGCTGTTTTCTCATGGGCAGTGCCAGAGGTGGACAGGTTGGCACAGTGGGGGCTGTGGGGACAGCAGCAGCAGCAGAATCCCTTACTTGAAGCCTGGGCGTTTCACACCAGGCTGGGGCAGAGCTGGGGATGCACCATCCCTTCCTGGCTGCGCATGGCACTGTTACTCTCATGCTTGTGGGAAATCTGAGCAATGGGCTTAGGGGTGCTTAATCTTAGGCAGATTCAGCCTGAGTTATGAGGTCAGAAACAGAGAGATACCCTCATTCTGGAGCAAGGCAAAGGCACGCAGGAGAAGCTGGGGATCCAGGCAGAGCAGAATAAATCTTTTGGGAAAGTTGAGCTCCTTGGAAACATTCACCTTGGATAGGTGCTCCCAAAGCTGGGAATGACAGGCAACTTGTCCACATCTCCACATGAAAGAAGGGGATCTTATTGTAGAGCTCGATCCCTGCACGTAGCCCAGCTGGGTGCTGCAAACAGGTATGAGAGCAAAAGGCAGCGCCTGGTGCAGGCCATTCTGCTCAGAACTCCCTGTGGAGCTCCTGTGCCTGGGTCCCCCACCACGACCAAGGGATCCTGGCTCTTTTTTTATGGAGACTCCCCACCGAGGTAGACGCTAGTTAAAAGGTTACTGCCCAGCTGTGAAATATGTAGACAGGGTAACAGCTAAATGGCGGGGTGACCTCATATCTCATATTTATTGACTAAATGTGGCTTGAACTAGTCACCACCAGTAAAATAAACCACAGCCCCGAGTGCTGCAGGAATATTCCACGGCAGACAGACTCCTGACTCCTTGTCACACTCTTTCTTTCACTTGATTAAAAAAAAAATACTTTTTTTTTTTTTTTCACTAATCTTGCTTCATAGGGCCTGTAGAAACCCTTTCAGGGCAAGCTGACGTTTTCCAATGAGAAGAAGCTGGGAATCTCTCTGGTTTTACACTCGAAGAGAGGGCGAGAACCATCCCTGTGGTTTTTGCTTTTGCCAGCACCCATCTCAGCATGGATGTACGAGGGCTGATGTGTGAGGCTGTACAGGGGAGTGTGGGGGGGTGGGAGCTGGGTTTTGTGACCTCTACATCACAGTGCTGTCACAGAGATGAGTAATAGATCTGAAAAATCAGAAGACAGTTCTCAGGTTCTCCCTGCACAAAGACACTGTGGTATAAAGGCGAAGTGAGAGGAGAACTGAACTTGTTTGGCACCAGCTATGTCTTCCTAAGCATCTCTGCTCGTGTTCTCCAATTCTGGTGAACCATTTCTCACCACTTCAGAACACAAATCCTGCAAAGTGGCTGCACTGTGCTCATTAGCTCATGGTCATCTGTGGCGCCCCGAGGGGATGGCAGTGCCACGACCACAGTGCTCTCAGCTGGAAAAGCCAGAGCACATTGCAGGTGTTGCTATAATGTCCTGTCTGGGATTACCGTGCGGTCAAAAGTTCTGCTGCAGTGTTTCCCTTTGGATATTTACATGTGCACGGAGGGATGCTGAGTATTGGAAAAAATCAGGCTTGCCACCGGGTTGGGATGCAGATGTTAAATCACCATCCCACGTCAGCTCAGGCTGCGCAGCAGCATCTCAGCTGAGCCATGGAGTGCTGCAGATGCATGGGGTGGCTGCAGGTTTCCAGGGATGTGCTGATACAGGGATGGGGCAAAAGCCCTTCTGGTCACGGCACTGGGACCTTGTGCTGACTGCTGTTGTTAGCTCTTCAATATGCAGATGGCTAATGAGAATCAGAAGGGAGAGAACATTCATTCTTCTCTAGAAAACCAGGTCACTGAGAGGTGTGTTTGTTTGTTTGTTTTTCTGGTAGAAGAAATGTGGATTTTTTTTTTTTTTTTTTACTAATGAATAACATTTTGAAAGGGAAATACATATTATAAGGCCTTTATAAATTTCCTGACAAACAGCACTACTGCATTTAGAGAAGCACTGTTGCAAGTGGTGGAGCTTGTTGACTGCTATTTTTAATCAAGAAAAACTGCCTCAGTTGGTTGCTTGCTGCTATTACTTTCTGATTTATTTATTTTTTTTTTAATATTTTTTTCATTCCCTCTGTTCCTGTGGAGGAGGTTGGTGTGATTTATCAGTAGTGCTTACTCTGCCCGTGATGCACAGAGGTTGAAGGTGTTGCTGTGATGTGTTTGTGCTGTTCAGTTTCATCCATGCCTCTTGCAGCCTCGATTCTTCAGCGCCGTAACACAACACCTTAGGGCTGGGGCAGCCGAACGTCCCCTGGCTTGGGCTGAGGCCATCGTGCTTCATGGTTTCCACCTGAGGCCATAAATCATGCTGGAGCTGGATTAAAACTTTGGTTAGATCCACTGGCAGTTTTGCTGTTTTCACTGAACCTTGCGATGATTTGGACGTGAGCTGAAGATTTATGCGTATTTGCAGAGCCCACGGTTCCAGGTCAGAGCTTGGACTGAGGCACTACCAGGGAATCATTGCTTCCCTGAACGTCTTTGGTGGCCTCTCTGAAGCGAGACGTTGCGAGGAAAATGCATCCAGAGCTCATCTCCCCGCTGAGTCTCCTCTGAGAAGTGCGAGACTCGATAAAAGGAGCCTGAAAATGCTGATACAAACATTGCTTGGGGAAATGTGCTCTGCTCTCATTCTTAACAAAGGCAATGTTGGAGCCCGCCTGTAATAATGCCAGGAGGAGTGTATGGGCAGGAGCAGAAAGTTAATAGTGGAACAGAATATAGGTTTTATTTTCTTTTTTTCGCATGCATTCAAGAGTGCTGGATGGCTGGGATGGCAGGGGAAGCCCAGCTCCCTGTCCCTGGCACCAGGACCTATGGGTTGACATGATACCAGTGCTTGCACCAGGGTGGTGTCCCTCAGGACGTTCTTTCCCAGGGCATCTGAAGTCTCAGGAAAGGTTTCTTGGGTAACCTGCTCCCTCTGTTCCTTTGGACTTTGCTGTATGAGCCCTCAATGCAATATGCATCACCCACCATCTATCCAACTGTCCATTTTCCATCAGGGTTCCTTTCTGTATTTACTCAGATGTTGCTGTCAGAGCTCAGACCATGGGTGAGGTCATGTTTTGGTGGATGGGCAGGAGGATCAGGGCTGCACCCTTGGGGTGCTATGATCACAGACAATGCATCTCCCATGCAGTGCCCCATGGCTCTCGTGTGCCGACCTGCATACACACAGTCCAGCACCAACTGATCCCCAGAGCTGCTCAGGAGGAATCGGAACTGTAACAATATGGCAGTAAAAATTAATGAAAAGCCATCACTTAAAATATATATATATATATATATATATATATATATATGGAAAAGCAGTTATTTATTTATACCTTGGGAACTAGGAATAATACACCTGCTTCGTAGGGATGGCTGGCATAAAGCTGGCATTGCATAGTGGTACTTAATAATTTTTTACCACACTTTATAGGCTCTTTCCTGCAATTAATGCTAAATAAAGTCAACATTTCTCCAACTTGCATTTCTGGCTCTCATTAACTCCCTTCATGCCATTCACCATCTCCTTCTCTCCTGACATCTTTAATTCTTTTGTGTTTTTCTTCTAAATGTTTCTTCACTTCTTCGTAGTGTCTGTATTCTTACCTGTTTGCCTCATTTTTTTCTCTCCCATCTCTGACACTCCTGAGCATTCCACCTGTGAGCAGAGATCCAGGAGCACCAGACAGGACTGGGCATCCCTGGATGCAGCACCCCAGGTTGGGCTGGATGCAATGGAGAGGTGGGGAGATCATGCAGCACCCTGGGATAAGGCTGCTCTGAGCTTTTGCAGGGGCTGTGGTATTTCATCCAGCAGCTATGTGAAGGGCTGAGTGCATTGCCACAATATGTCTGGCAGCAGTGTCCTGCCCAGGACCTGCTTCCTTGCTGTGAGCCTGCTCATTGCCTCCACACATCCATATCAGAGGTGGGAGCAGTGAGTTATTGTATGTCTCTGGAATCTGACTAATCTCAACTTCAACGTAATATTAATAATTTAATGTTCCCTTGCATCTAACATTTTCTTGCCTCCCACGTAGCCTGATTGAAGGGTTAGAGATTTGCCTCAAATAATATTATCTTATTGGTTTTCAACTCTGCGCTTTAACCTTTCCAGGTGTTCCTGTTAGAGAACGTGGAGGGGACAAATGCAGCAAGCTCTTGTGAGCAAACAAGAACCTGTGATGGTCAACCCTTCATTGGAAGGGGATCCCTCAGTGCTGGATCTGGAATGTAAGTGGTTGCAGTGGCCTAAGTCTGTCATTACTGGAAGTCCTCTTCCTACCTCTGTTGTTTAGCGTGAGTCAGTCTGTCTTTGCTGCTGTCCTCTTGTCTGTCCAACCTGAGCCAGAGTTACTGCTAGCTAAATGGAATGCTTTTCGTGCATCCCTGATGTCTTCAAGAGGCTGTAGTTCCAGTTTATCAAGATGAAGCAGAAGGCCTAATTTTGGCACTATTCTTTAATAGTTGTCTTGCTTGGACTCTGAGTTTCTCCATCTTCAAAACAGGGCTGACACTAATTGCCTATTTGCAGTGTGTTTCCAGACGTGTGGCTGTAAAGTGCTGTATGAAAAAAACAGGCATTGTTATTATGAAACTTTCAGGAAAAAAAATTAATAGATTCATATAACTCCACAGTCATTAAAACAAACCGTATGTGGATGGAAGAGACCAGAGCTGAATAAACCTTGAGCAAACACAGCCTTTCACAATGAAACACAAACTGGTTTTAATCAATGGTACCAAATAAGTTTTGTTTTCCAAGGTTTCATTTTCCACCATCTCCCTTCTCCGTATTATCAGCTGCAGAAGGTGATTGCTGCCTGACTTCTGCTCTTAATGAGTATCATTTCTAAACAACAATGTGCTCTGCTTGGGCTGACCAGGTCTCAAGTTGCCTTCAGCTCCGCTAGGATCTCGGCCACCCTTTGTGAGTACATCAATTTGTCCATGGGCCTTAGACAAAATTGGATCTAGGCTCTGTCAGATGGGATAGAGGGATGCTGACCACCATCTTGCATTTCCCTTCTCTGGGGAAGCCATGAAGCTCTCTCTGTTTTGCTTCAACCAAGGTTTTTCTTGTGCTTGTCTGGGAGGCAGAAAGAGCTGTCTGCTAGGAGGGTGATGAGGTTACACTGACTGAGCTGAGCAGCCTGGAGGAAGAACTGGGAAGAAATGGCCAAGCCACCTTCTTTCTGATGCTTCCATTTTTTTTATTTTTATTTTTATTTTTTTTTTTAGGAAAAGCTGTAATGCCTGCTTGCCACTTGGTTTGTAGGCAGTAAATTCAGCGAGATCTCTTGCAATGAAATATGTAGAAGGGGGGCTTTTGGGTGACACATGCATCAGCCTTATTCTTGTCTGGGAAGCCTCCAGTCTGTGCTGCTTTCCCTGGCTGGAACACGTGAGCACTCTCCTGGTGATGCCATCAGACCATGGGAACATGAACTAGGGTCAGGGATGATGTGAAGGTTGTTGGTAGCTGTAGGAGTGAAAGATTGTATAAAAATGGCCAAAGTGTGTGTGTGTGTGTGTGTGTGTGTGTGTGTGTGCATGTGTGTATATATGTGTAACTATTTGCAGTCTTGTCCCCTGCTAAGAAGTCTAGTTCCAGATCAGGAATGGTATTTTTTCACCTCCCTCTTTGTAAGTTCATTGGGATGTAAGAATATTTTGTTCTCAACTAAGCTAAGTCCATCAGTCTGCATTTGTCGCTGGCAAAGGCTATGCACAGATGCACGTTAACTTTAAAGCAACTGCCAGCTTCTGGTGATGCTGAATTCTCCATTTTTTCAGCCCAGCTGGCCAATGCATATGTGCTAAAAGTGGTGATCTTAGGTTCAAACCTAGCCCAGCCTGAGGTTCGTAACAGTAGCACAGACATTTGCTGTCAACAAATACTCACAAATGGTGATGACAGTGCCCTAAGGCAATTTCCTTCTAATACTGCTTGAGATGATGAGTGACTCATACAAGCTCAGAAGCTTCCTCTAGGTTCTCTGGCTGGGTGGGATGTCCTGCTGATGCTCTGAGGTTCTTGCATTTAGGCAGGACTTGGTGTCCTGTGAGTCCAGAGGATGAGCAGTGGGTCGTAGCTGAGCAAGAGACAAGGGAATGGCTGAGACAAAGATCTGTGCTGATGGCACAGCAGTGGGATGAGTTCTCAATATGCAACAAAAACCTTATTCCTCTCCTCAGAATTTCTGCTTTTATTTTGTTTAATTTATGGCACTTCTGTAGACAAAAACTGCCAAAAACAATATATCCTGGGGGATAATATGGGAAAGGGAGCAGGGCAGGCAGTGAGGAGCAGTGTAACCAAACCCCTGTACCCAATACTTGCCTGCAAGAAGATCCAGCAGCTCTTGAACCAGTGGCCAGCAGTGTTGCTTGCAGATACTTCTCCCTTTGAGTTCATGCATCAGCAGCATGTCACCAGGGATGGTTCCCTGTGGCAGATGGGCCGTCTGCCACTTAGTGAATGTGTCAGCAATCAGTTTGTTATGTGCCCCATCCAATGTGACTCCAGTGTTGCTCATTGCCTTTACTCCTTCCATCCAACTCAGTGCTCCTGCACTGAGAACTCCTCAGAACCAGCCATGCCAGCTGGTTCTAAACCATCTAAATGGAATGGAATGGCTTTCTAGTGTGCTAGCTGATTAAGTCATAGAGTCATTAACGTTGGAAAAGACCACTAAAATCATCTAGTCCAACTGTCCAACCATTCTGCCAGTCCCACTCTGCTGCTTGCAGCCCATTCACATTTGCTTGCTGCAGCCCACATGGGCTTGGAGGCAGCTTGTGGTGTTCTGCCATGAAATGTTACTGGGGGGAAAATACTCTGCTCTTTGCAAAATTAGTTTTGCCATCAATATATTCTGTTAAAAATATCGGTCTCTCCAAACTGAAAATATTTTGCTTTTTCCATTGCCGCAGCTTTCTCCAATTTTCCCGTGGTATAAATAGAAATGGGATGCAGATTTTTATTTTATTTTTTTTTATTTAAATTTTTATTTTTTAACCTTGGATTCTTGTTTTGTGAAAAGCCAAACATTTGCCAAGAGGTAAACACATCTGGCAAAACCTTCACTTGCTAAGAAGTCATCTGACTTGGAAGGATATTTCAGAGAGAATATGAGAACGTATCGGATCGACTCTGCAAAGGAATGGCCTTCTTCACTCAGTAAGTGGCAGAAAGGAAATGATTGTTCCTCTTTAACACAGCTCCAAATCTGCAGCTTATAATATTCCCGTTGATCTCCTCTCTTTTTTATTTGTTTAGCTTAGCATATTCAAATCCAATTGTTTTTTTTTCCCTTTCATTCTCATGCTCGACTCCTTACCGTCTCATTGAGGTCAGCTTTGCAAAACTGTTCTTGTGCCATCTTACGCCCAGAATGGTTGGAAAGGTGATCAGCAACAGTAATTTTCCACTTTCTGGCAGGCTCTATAATAAATAATTAAGAAAAATCATAAATAGCAGTGGTATTAGTTCACTGGTGCACATGAAGTAGCTGTAGTTTAAGGTTTGGTGTAGAAAAGAGCTGTGGGATTTTTTCTTTCAATGATGCATCCTTAAGACCGTGTCTGTGTTATGCTTTTGCCATAATTAAATTATTGCTTATAAGAACTTTTGCTTGGTCAGAAGGAGGGAAAAAAACCCAACACAATTATAATAATTCCATTTCAATGTTTTCCATAAGATCCTGGCCAACTTGGCCAATAACTAAGGCAAGGAACAGGGGGAAAAAAAAGGTATGTATTGTATACTCACTTAAAACTTGGCTAGAAATGACCTTTTATTGTCTAATTTTTTTTTCCATGCCCAACTTGGCTACTGGAGACAAACTCAGTGCCAAGTTTCTATAGCGCGTTATTTTCCTATGTATGATGTGTTCAAAAACACTTTCAAAAGCTTACCTCCAAGCATCCTACAAGGGTTTTGCATGGGTTTGGTGATGTGGACGCTGGTGTTTCAAAGCTAGATCTGTTTTGCCTGTGTTTTTTTCCCCCCCTTTCATCCCTTGTGTGGCCCAACATGGAGCACTCTCCAAATGGGCTGAGCTAGGAAATGAGGTGAAGGCAGTGCTGTGATGGTAATGTAAACCTCCTTTTGGAGAGGCCCGAGGCATCGTGTGGGCCTCTGCCTCAGGCATGGTGACATTGGTCAAGGGCATTCTGTCCCCACCTGGGTCGTGGCAATGCGCCCTGTGCTGGGTGTGAGCACCTCAATGGCTTTAAAAGCAAAATATAAGGGAGTGATGCTGAGTTTGAGCTTAAAGCAGACTCTTAAAGAGAGAGAACCAAAGCCCCCAACCAGCTCTGGTCATTTTGCCTCATCCGTAATGACCTGTCTGTGACATAAGTAACACTTCAGTCATGATAAAAATAAGAGCTATGTGTATATTTGATTTCATTTCTGGTTTTTATGAAGTCCCATGTTTGGTTTTTTTTTTTTGTTTTGTTTTTTTAGTGGTGTTGCCAGTTGCATCTGAATTGCTACAGACAGAAAGACAGCTGCTTGAAAGCAGTAACGAGGGTGAGACTTTCACAGCTTTGATTTCCTATAGGTATTTTGTCTTCTGTAAGCTATACAAAAGTAGAACTTCCAGAGATTCTGATCATGCAACTGCTTCTGAACATATTTCATTTGACTATCCACAGGCACAAGCTGAAGATACCTATAGTACAGAGCCATTATCTCTGGCTTTTGAGCATACCTGAGAAAACCAGTTATGGAAGCAGAAATAAAAATGCAGTTTTCAAATGTGGTGCAGTTTTCTCTCTTCGTTGTGGGACACCAAAGTTCTTTTACAGGCCTACCTGGCATGACTTTGGAGAAGAATCTCCATAACTGAGAGAGGAACCCAGACCACTGAAATGTGAAAGAAGGTAACGAAGTTCATGATGGGTTCCTTTCCATTTTCTGATCATTCTGTTTTCATATGCTGGTCCTTGCTATGATGTAGATGGACTGATTCTTCATTTGCATGCTGGTACTGGGTTGCATATTTTACTCTGTGCTCAGCTGGGATTCATTTGGTATTTTAAATGTAGGTCAAAAAAGAGACGACTTGAAAGAAGAGAGAGGGAGTAGAAATGGCGAGAGGAAAGGTCGTGTGCAGTGTGCTGCACACAGATGGCTCCTTATGGCTAGGACATGTGGCAGAATCCAAGCTCAGCTGACAGTTTGTTTGCACGATGCAAAGCTCTTTCAGGGACTGCTGAGCTTCTGAAAGTCTCTGGGTGCATTCTGCAGGATGTTCACGCTTTGCTGACCTTGCAGAAGCCTTGAACGAACTGCAATTTCTCTACTTTTGCAAACTAGGAGGTTTAGTGCAATGCTGAGAGGGGATGGAGATAGAACCAAACGTTCTGCTGTTTGCCAGGTGTCTAAAACCTGACTCCCCAGCTTGCCAAGGGGCATTTTGAGATCCTGTCTTGCCTGACATCTCAGCAGGGGCAACGAAACTCAACAGAAGATCCCTGTGGATCAGCTTGTACCTTTCTGCTGCTGAAAGGCTGTGCAGAAAGCAAGGATGAAGCAACTGTAAGATTTATGTTGGAACTGGATCCCCATGGATCAGAATGTGAATAACACCTCCATCCCCTCCCAAACCTTCCAGACCTGACCTTTCACAATCACCATTTCCTGACCAGTGACTCCAAAGAAAATAGAGCTGCTAGTTGGTATTTAATGGAAATCTGCACGAAACTTGTCAAAATACACCACCATGCCTGTCAGATGCCTGGGACAAGACCTCTACAGTAGTTTCCAGAAACCCAGTGCAATTACTTACATTTTAAATTATCTTTAATTGTAGCGTGTGAGCTACAGAAACATTTCTTCCCCCCTGTGAAGCAAGACCTCGCTATTAAGAGTCACCCCCTAATTGCAGCTCTAATGGGGAGCTGGGGCAGGTCAGCACCAGGGTTAGCACAGGGTGAAGCAAGAGTGGCCACGGAGCACTGGAAAGTGGAGATGACACAGCACAACAGTCATAGAGGGGCAGCTTTTGTCAGCTTCTTAGCACACTTAATTACTCCACCAGATGTTCTAATCCAATCTTCCTGCCCCTCCCCTGCCAGCAAATGTGACTTTTTTTATGTTTCTGACTGTGGACTCATAGGATGGCTTGGGGAAGGGACCTTAAGGATCATCCACTTGCCCTGGAGTTTGTCTAGAATAAACTCAGTGAGTTGCTGCTTCTTGGGCTTTTCCTTTGCAGGAACTGAGCATCCTTTTGCTACCCAAGTGATTGCTCAGGTCTGAGTGTGGCTGCACACACGCTTGGTATGTGTAGGACTGAACTGAATCAGACTGAACTCATGGATTGACATGGATGTCACAGAGGGTGCAAGACTGATGAAAAATAGATGAGGTGGTGGTGCAAATCTGCTCAAGTGCTGAATGACAACTGTTAGCCTGGCAATGCTGAATTCAAGCAGTCCCTGTCAATAGTGTGAGAGATGCTGCACCAGATTTTCTGGGGTTGTTTGCAAATTGACCTAGTGTTCCTGCTGACACAAAACCTTGGAAGTGCAGCTAAGAGCAGCATTGCTGAACATGCCTGATTTGCTCACAGATTGTGGTCAGATGTGAGCATGAAAGCAAATACTTGCCAGTATGCATCTAGGAGAGGGGAAAATAGTGAATTAACTATGGACACAGATGCATGACGTTACCTTCCAGGAGCAGATGTGCAGCACAGGGAATGAACCAACATGGGGAGGAGTTTCCTCAGTCAGTGAATTGGTTTTTGGTTCAGTGAGAACTCCGGATGTGCACATGCAACATGTTGACTGCATGCAAAAAATCTCCTCCTTTCTTCTTTCCTTAACACAAAAAAGAAAACCCACAAATCAAAAGTCTCCAAAAGTCTAAAACTGTAATTTGTTAAAGCACCACTTGAACAATTTGCTTAATTTTCACCACTTACTGCATTAATTGCTGCTTTTTTTTTCCCCTTCAGCCCCATCCGGTTCCCCAGGCAGACAGCATTCGGATTTGTCTCAAGCACAGCTTCAGCCACACACCTGCAGGATGGAAACAGGCAGAGCAAACAATGAAACAAGGCTGTTTATAAAGCCTTCAACACGTCAGGCAGGGAGAAGAGCCCAAGTTTCCACGTCAAGGCCTAAACGGACCAGAATGACGCGAAACACATGGAAAATATGGAAAATGTGGAATAAGTAATAAAATCATAAATAAAACAAATACAATAAATTGGGAATGCAGTTTTACTCGTAATGATTTGTGTTCCTAGTAACCCAAGACTCCCTTACCTTTGAAAACGAGCATGTTTTTCCAGCGGGGAGCAGAGTGCAGGTGATGGGGCTGCACAGGGCACTGGAGCAACCAGAGGCAGAGGTGGGCAGCAGGGAACCAGGGCTGCAGCATGCCCATGCGAGTCCTTTCTGTGACAATGACTTGCATTAGGATCTCAGGAAAATCATTTAATCAGATGGAGGTTAGCATTAGTGCAGGAATTTTGGCCAGAAATGAATCTTGGCTTGTTCTGGGCTGAGAAATTTGCACTGGTGTTGTTACCCAGCTGTAGTTCTCCTGGGTTGCTTTGTCTCCTGTGCTTGTCTGGCTGTTGGTGACAGCAGTCAGCGTGCCCCTCAGTGAATGGGTTCTCCTGGTGATACCTGGCTCTGGTGGGATGAAGCTTCTGGGCAATCCTTGCTATAAACACTGATCCTTGGGCTGTGGGATTGCACTGCTCTCATTAAACATTTTAATGAGGCTCTCTGTGATGACTTTATGTTCCTTCAGCTCCACAAAGGAACGCTCAAAAGCTGACTCTGGAAGAAAACAAGAAAAGTAATAAAGTATGGTCTGCTTTAACCACTGTTGCTGTTCTGTTGTCTGGTTAACAAGTGCTGGAGTTACAAAATAAATAGGCTTATCAGCCACATGAATATCCCTTGTGTTTAGAACAGCTCAATCGTTCAAAGCTCTGCTGGTGCCCATGGCAAAGGGCACCTATAGGGAAAGCCAAGAAGACAGAAGGAGCAATGGGGGTTGGACACAGCTGCCTCCACCTCAATTAATTAGGCACCAATTTAGATAGATTCCATTGGGAATGACTTTGGCAAAAGTCAAGAATAAGGTTTAAATTCATGACTGGCAGCCTGAAGAACTTACAGTCAAAGGGGCAGCAGAAGAGTGCAGCAACATGCCCAGGGTCCTTCTGAGAACGAAAGCCTGCACACAAAGCAAGCTAGAGCCCTGTTGCAGACACCATGCCATGGATGATTAAATGCTGAATTGTCCCTTTGCTGTATGTCAACACCTTGGAAAAATTTCCTTTGATACCACTGTGATGAGTTGGTTTGCTGTGCTGGCATCAAAGAGTGCTATGAGCAGAGTATGAATTGCAGCTATTCTTCAAGGTAAAAGATTTGAGTTTCTATTTCCCACTGCCACTGGGACCAATACGAGTCTGACTGGCCACTGTATGGTGAAAAAGTCCCTCAGTGTGCCAGTATTGAAAACTGTTTGTGCATTAGCTGGAGCCTTTGCCAGAGAAATAATATCATCCCCTTTGTTTATTATACTGAAACTTGATAAAAGAAAGCATCAGAGGAGGAAAAAAAAAGAAAATCCATCTGTGGTGTGAAATGAATGTTCTCGTCTGGACTCCAGGATGCAGCCATGAGCAGTGGCTGTGGCACCACCAGCATCCTATGGCAGAACCACAGCATAGGGCTGCAGAGGGACCTCAGCCCCACAGTGCCAATGGAGATGGTCCCCTTTGGGGGGCTGCCTCTTGGAGCCCAGCTGGCCATGCTGCACGCTGGTTTTCCCAGCAAGGCAGGCTCGGTTCTAAGTCCCACAGCATTTGAAATACTCCCACCACCTCCAGTATTTTTCTGGAAAAGCGACCGTGCATTGGCAGCTATTTCTGGCTCCAAGGTAGCATTGCAAATTAACACATTTTCTGTTGAGAAAAGACCCCGAACCAAGCAAAGCAACCTTCTCAAATGAGAAAAGCAGCCTGTGTGCATTGTTAACAGGCTTGCAAAAGTTGATAGAACCACTTTACAAGAAGTACTAAAAACATCAGAGCAAAGCAAAACCAAGAACAAACAAAAACCCCAAGCTTAACACAGCTCCTGTACAAGAAAAGGATACGAAGCAACACGCGTGGCACAAATACTGAGATTCCAAAAGTATCAAGCAGCAAAGGAGAGGAGGAAGCATTCGTCAGTCTGTGGGGGCTTCGGGACAATTCTTCCCATTTTATTTCACATTGGGAAGTGGTAGCACAGAGGGCTTTTATGTTATGACAGAGATCTATACATTAATGCAATAGAAAATGGCAACAACAACACTAACAGCAACAGAAACAAAGGCAAAAATTCAGCACAATGTGGCATATATGACTCAAGGAAACAGCCAGTGCCTGGGGATGCCCTTGTGCTGCACTGGGTGCAGGATCAAGCCAGCAGCAGCTATGCCACCAGCAGCAGC